TTCCTCCCTTCCATCTCTCTCCCTCTCCACTCCCTACTTCTTCATTCCTTCCTTCCTCCCTTCCATCTCTCTCCCTCTCCACTCCCTACTTCTTCATTCCTTCCTTCCTCCCTTCCATCTCTCTCCCTCTCCACTCCCTACTTCTTCCTTCCTCCCTCCCTTCCCCCTCATTTCTCTCCCTTCCTCCTTCCCTTCCTCCCTATCTTTTCTTTTGCTCTTTTTTCCTGCCTCGCTGCTATCTTTCTCTTTCTTTTTTTCTTTTGCCTTCCTGTTTTTTCTTTCTTCTCTTTCCCTTTCTTTTGTCTTTCTGTCTTTCCACTTTATTTGTTTCGTTTCTTTTATTGACTTTCTTAGTTAATGGCGGAAGGGGGGGAGGCCAAGAAAGAGGTAAGGGGGAGAGGTCCGAAGCGTGAGAAAAAAAAAGATGATTAGGGTAGAAACTTAGCAGAGGTTGACAGGTGAAGGACGGGCTCCACAGGAAGGGCGGCAAAGGTGTCAATTTCTAAGGGTGTCACCACAAGGAGGGTGAGAATTGTGAGGGCCCGGCGGCTGAACATCTATTTAAAAATTTGAGAAACATCACTACAGGACAACATTGGAGGCAGCTTTCTGTCATTTCCAGGGACTTTCTTTAAAATGGCATTTCTTCCTTCCTCAACTACGGTTATACTACAAGAGGAAACTCTAAAGCTTTCAGAAGTATTTGGCCAGCTGGTAGAAAGGTGGTAGCCCAGCGCATTTTCCTCATTTGATGCATTTATTTTGTCTCTCTGCCAATATGCAGCCCACAGTCCATGCATTTCAATAAAGTTTAGTCCTGAAGGTTAAACTTCCCCTTTGCAAAGGCCTGGATGAGGGAAGTCACGCAGTCCCCAGCGTTTATCAAATCTAAGGGGCCAACTGCCCTGAAATATTGTTTGCCTTCCCAGGGATGTGGAAGCTAGGATCTCGCACCTCATCTTCATGTTTGATCAACCCGGTTTAACTTCCTTGTCTGGCTGCAGTTCAGCCTTGGAGTCCAGTTTGCAAATGAGGAGTGGGAGATGACCCCCCTTTCAGTCAAATCTGTCCAGTGAGGGTCCTTGGTGCTCTCGGAGCTTGGCTGGTTTCTTAAAACGTTTCATTAGCCAACAAGGGAACTTCCTTAGTGCTAGAAGGGAGTGGGGTACATGGAAAGGAGGAGGAAGAGGAGGAGGAGGAAGAGGAGGAGGAAGGGAGGAGGAGGAGAGGGGGAGGAGGAGAAGAGG